TCTCCATCATGGCCGAGTCCTGGAGCCTCAGTAACTCTGAACTGCAGGGTTGATCATCCTTCTGCTGGCTGGAGCTTCTACTGGTATAAGGCTGTTCCCCAACTGTCACACAACTCCTACAGCTATGAGCTGCTACCCGGCAGCGACAAAGGGACTAAACAGGATCTCTTCATCATTGGTGGACAAACACACACAGCAGGATATGTGTGCAGAGCAGGAAGAGGAGATCCAGTGTATTACAGTTGGTACAGCACACCTAAGTTTGTCTGTTCTGGAGGTCAGTATGTTCTTTGTTTTCTTTCTTTCTGTAGTTTTTACCACCATTAGGCGACCAAATGTTTGTCTGGTCTTGAGGCATGTTTGTTTTGACTTTTCCATTATTGCAAAATGGAACAAAGTCACTTATTTTGGGAACTTTTCTTTTACACCAGCATCAGGTCATATTTCAGTTTTCAAAACTATTCTCTAAAAAAGAATGATGATGAATTTATTCAGCTTCTGGACTAAATTTCAACACGAGTTAATCTCCTGAGCCTCTTTTCATCCTGACACATGAGTTGTTGTTCGCCATGGTTCAAACCTTAGACTTTGTTAATCCAAAACCTAATAATAAAAGGCTTCTACAATACATTGTAATTAGATATAACTGGTAAGTGTTTTCTTTATTTGTTTAGTTGGGAATATGTTTTAAGATATTTATCTGCTGGTTAAATGGTTTAAGACATAAACAATACATATGATTTAAAAAAATGGTGATGTATGATTGAGACACTGGTACTTTCAGTTTTGTTTTCCTCCTTCTTTAGTTTGTTCCCGTTTGTTTTTTCAGGGTAAATTAAGTGGCAGTCTTGCTGTACCCATGCATTGTCTTTTACAGTTTTCATGGTTTAAATGTCCCCTCTTTGTGTGTTTCAGATTTGAATTCAGCAGCGTCTCTCACAGTGAGTCCTGACAGTGTGCAGCACTTCACAGAAACGTCTGTGTCACTGAGCTGTGAGGGAAACTCCACTGAGTGGAGAGTGATGAGGTTTTATAAACCTGACAACCTTCTTCCCTGTTCTTCCTGGGGGACAATGACTGGATCCACATGCACAATAACCAGAAGCTGGGTTAGTGGAGTGTTCTGGTGTGAGTCTGAAACAGGACTGTTCAGTAATGCAGTCAACATCACTAAAGATGGTGAGTTTTATTTATTTAAAAATATTTCTTTCTGAATTATTATATTGTTTTGAAATGTAAAGGTGACAATCATCAACGTCTCTTCAAAGTGAGTAAAAGTTTATTTAAAAAAAAAAAAGGCTAATTTGCGAAGTGAACCCCAGGGTCACTCCTCTCAATGATCAACGATAATATTCTACATGTTTTATTGTTTCTTACATCCACCTGACATTTCAGCTTCTGCCAGACTAGACCAGTTTTGCCTAAACATATTAAATCTGCAAAAGATGATTTCTCTGACAAAGCCTTTATATTCTTTGATTTTTTTCAGGTGATGATATTATCCTGGTGAGCCCTGTCCGTCCTGTGGCTGAGGGACTTCCTGTCACTCTTAGCTGCAAGTTAAAGATAGAAACCGTTTATAATGTTGATTTCTATAAAAATGACAAACTCATACAGAACGATAACAGAAGGGAGCTGACCATCTCTGCAGTGTCAAAGTCAGACGAAGGCTTTTATAAATGTAAACAGAGAGATTCAGAACATAGGACCTCACCAGAGAGTTGGTTCTCAGTAAAATGTGAGTATGATTTAAAAGCACTTCCTTTTTTGTAAACTGTGTTACAGTCTGAGATAAAGAAAGCTTAGTTTTATCTGAATTGAACAGTGTTTGTGTTAGAGAAATGTTTTATAAAGTGAATCTATTTCAGAAAGAAAGAAAGACCAATATATTCGAGAAACTAATCCACCTTAATGAGCTTAACATTAACTATTCAAACGTGCAGGTAAAAATGTATTCCTTTTTCATGAAATGTGAAAATGTATTCTTCATACTGAACTTAAGTAATTTTCATACCTAAAAGCTTCAAACATTTAGTAAACCCAAAATGAAACAGCTAGACTTATTTACAGGGACAATAACTAACATTTGTAAACATTTGTACCTGTATTCTACATTAAACAGCAAAACCAAAGGCCCAGCTGAGAGACATATTTCCAGGAGGGGGCAATGTGACTCTAACTTGCTCTGTAGGACCAACATCAGCTTCTGGTTGGAGATACTTCTGGTACAAAAAAGAGAAAGCCTCTGAACCCCTGAAGACACAAGATGTTGTTTTCCTCACAGATGACCGAATCAGTGTCTCAGGTGGAGGCGTCTACTGGTGCAGAGGAGGAAGAGGAAACCCTGTTTACTACACAGAGTACAGCGATGCAGTCGGTAATTAAAACATTTAATATTATGTCTTCAAGAAAATATAAATTATAATATTTGAAAGTAAGGATTGAGAAGGTCGCTAAGGAATGTATATTTGTTTCATTTTTTTTTATTTAGTATTTTGTGCTTCTTCCTCTAACAGTCACAAACAGGGCTGTTGTGACCCTGCGACCCAACTGGCCTGAGATTTACTCTGGAGAAACGATCACTCTGACATGTGAGATTAAGGATGGAGGAGACTCTGAGTGGGATTATATATGGACGACACCGGGGTCAGAAACACCTCAGACATCTGACCCTAAATATACTCTGACCTCACAAAGTGGAAACTATGGGTGTAAGGGCAGACTGAAAGGTGAAATGCCTTCAACGCGTCGGAGTGATGTTCTCACATTGAAAGTATCTGACAGTAAGTCGTATGTCATATGGGTTTCATCATTATTAGACTTTGTTTTGCTATAGGTATAATATAAACATATCATCTATAATATGCTGGTTATTATATTAAGGATCGTGCACCTTCACATTTGTTTTACATGTTTGTAGAAAATATGTAGGATGCAAGGAGTGTTTGTAACCCACCAATTATACATCATTAAATCACTTTCCAACAGAAAGACCTCAGCCTGTCCTCACTGTGTCTCCATCATGGCCGAGTCCTGGAGCCTCAGTAACTCTGAACTGCAGGGTTTATCATCCTTCTGCTGGCTG